AAGCTAATAATATACAGAAAAACTAGTGAAAAACTCTCAAGATGCGATTTTCCCATTATTTACCTCAAAAAATATAAGAATCTCGAAATTTTTCACATTTAGGCAACTCTGCAACTCGCTTGCTTGACGTCACGCTGGACGAATTTTAGCGGCAAATTCGCTTTCTGAGACCATTTCCTCATATCGATGGTGGGTAATTCTCAAAAAAAAATTCGAAATCGTAACAAAAAAAACTTTTTTTTTAAAACCCATCAATTATTTATTTGACGGTTTTCCTGAAACTTGAAGATTTTGGCTCGAAAATGCAATAAAAAGTTCCTCAATGCAGTTGGCTCGCTTGTAAATATTTTCAGGTAATTTCTGGTCACCAATTTGGCTTTTTGAGACAATTTTAGCTGAAAATGAGTACCATGTCGATGGGTGATTCAACAAAAAAAAAATTGGAACCCAAAAATAGTTTTTTTTTTAATTCGCCCATCGAAATAGTTGCAAAGGCTTGTTCGGAACAGGGAAAAAACCTAACAAAAAGAATTAATTTCTTCTTAATTTCGTAGAAATCCCCCCCCCCGCAGTAGCACATGCGCAACGATAAGACAAAGAGAAAACCCATGATGTGAAAAAAGGCCGAGTCTGATTGCTGTGCCAGTTCTGAGGCTCGATGCGAGACTCCTGGCCGGCAAACTGCGAATACCCCGAAGCATTTCTGATCCCTCCGTCACCCATTCTGAAGCCGGCAACCGTTTCTGAGCCCGTTTTCTAACCGCACTTTTTTTCCCTGTTCTCAGCTGAGCGCGGACGCTGAACGGCTGATGACTCCCGAGTATCGCAACAGTAAAATCGGCCAAGTGAGGGAGTGCTGCCCCGATTGCAGCGCCGACGAATGTATGACGGCCCTCCAACAAACCGGCTGGGACGTCGCTTTGGCCCTCAAAAGCCTCAAAATCGCAGCCCTATTAAAGTAAGTCCCGTTTTGCCGCGGAAAAACGGATGTTTGCGCAACGTTTCGCCTGCCCAACTAGCTGGCATCTTCAGCGGTAGCCAAAGGTTGCGCGATAGCTGATCAGCAAAGGCTTGCATTTTCAGTGTTTACTTATTTTTAATTGAAAATTCTCGATTTTTCCGAAATCAGTGATCAGAATCAGATAATTGCAAAACATCCGTCTTATTTGCCAGCCACTGATGACGAATCGTTGTGAAAAACTCGATTTTTTTAGGTTAGGATTGGCCGATCGTACGGGCTGCGAGATGGCGCTGCAGCGCAGCAACTGGAACCTCGAATTGGCGGCGTCGGCCATTTTGGACACGTGACAGCCCTGCAGGGCATGCGCTGCTTGAACTGTGATATGGCTTGAGGAGTTTCAGTCTGTATTATGTTTTTTTTCGTTCGTTTTAATCGTTTACTCACGTTGAATTTACAATGTTAGGTTAGGAAATGTTCTAGTTGGTGGCGCCCTCTGGGCCCGCGTGTTCTTTTGGCTCTCTAATTTATTACGTTCTGGTATTCGAAAAATGAGTATTTGCGGCGAAACTTGCCCAGTGATTTTAGTCTAGATTTTTTCAAATATACTATTTGACCACCAGTTGTTGATGTCAATTTTCTGCAAACGTTGGCAACGCAGCATGGGAGGACTGTCAATTTTCCGTCGGGAATTGACGTGTGAAAGTCACCCATCACGTCATTTGGCCAGTAGATATTCACGTTCTTATCACGACATTTCGACGCCCCAATCAGAATTTCTGGGTTTATCGGAAAAAGCCGCATCTAAGGTTTACAACTTCGCATTGACAAACTGGCAAAAGGGTTTCTGTACAACACAAAACAAGGAAAGTTCCGTTCGTGAAGCTGGCAGGTGAATTTCGGCCAGAAGAGTATCGAAAAATGGCACTTACCTCACCCTCTGCCGGCTGCTTTTGCCTCCTCAACAATCCATGGAAGCGCCCCGACCTCCTCCAGTCCGGCCCTGTTGGACCGGCGCATGCCAACCACTGACAGGAAACGTCTGAAAAACCACCCACTGTAAAATCGCCGTATTTCCCCGGAAAAAACCGTTTCGACCGGGAAAACACCCCCCAACAGCAGCCGGAGGGTTGATTGACCGGAAACGCCGCAATTGCCAGCCGGAAAACTCGGAAAAATGCGAATTTTCCGAAATTCAAACGGAGCCGACACGCACCCTGTCACTCACCACAGAGCGCAACGATGCCAAACCTCCCACTCAAAAGGGGACAAAAGGGGTTGGAGCCGGTGAGGGAGGGGCGGCAACGCGGCCGACGGCCGCGCCCAAATTGGACGTGTGCTTCAAAATCAATTATATTGCGCCCCTTAAAACTAGAAACTTAACCAATAGGACAACTAAAATTAGAAACTTAACCCGTCGGGGAAAATTTCAAAAAAATCTAAAACAAGGTGGGGAACAGGCCCGAGACGCTCTGGTCCCAACTGTCCAGCTCGCAGCTGCTCAAGGGGGACCCCAAGGACTCGTAGCCCATATCCGACTTGGGCGAGACATTTCCAGCGACCTCAGCACGCGGGAGGAGCGGCTGATGGGCGCAAGCGGGCGGTTTGGGGCGCAGCGCCTTCAGCCTCCTGGGGGGCTGCGCCTCCTTCGCGGGCCGACTCTTTGCGTAGTTGTGGTGCAGCAGCAGATACTGCGAAATGTCCGGATCTACGGCTGCGCCGCCACTGGGTTCCAGCTGCTTTGCTGGCGCCCCCACCATTTTGTCTGGAACAGCTTCCTGGTCCTGCAAAACGCCCACGGATAATCAGCTGCTGATTGGTTCAGCCGGGAGCTGGGAAAATGGGTGCGGTTTCAAGCAGCTGCAGGGTGGGATTCAGCGGTTTAGTGCGCTAGTAAGAACTGATTAGTTACCTCTGGATAAAAGGCGCATTACTAATTAACTCAACACACTGGCCAACAGATCTAAAAGAGTAAATTTGATGATGAACCGCCAGCGGGTTTGGAGAAACGTCGGGGGGATCAGAACAGGACAGGAATGTGCTTACTTGATCGGTTGTCTTCTGAGCAGCGTTCTCCAGATCTCGGGCAATGTCCTCGAGTAGGGTCTGAGTGAAGTGCTCGAGCGCGTTGAGGTCGACCGTGTCCGACTCCAGCTGGTCAAGCAGCTCTGGAAGAGAAGGCAAATCAGGACTGTCCTCAACAGGTGGCGCTTCCGCGCGTCTGCTAGAGCCGCTGCTGAGTAGGCGCTCGTTCCTTTCGGCCGAAGGAGGGACTCGGTTGATCCACTCTCGGGCGCGCACACGACAGTCCGGCTCTGGCATTGGCAGGGGGGCGTTTCCTGCGGGAAATGTCAACAATGAGGCTCGGCGATTGGTTGGGAAATGGGGCTGCGCACCTGTAGGCGACGATGCAGTTCGCTGTTCTCGGCCAGCAGGCGCTCATTGGTCGCCCGCAAGCGGTCGCATTCACCAATCAGCGTCTCGTTCTTGTTGAACAGCTGCTGGATGGCGGTTTCCATCTGTTCCACTTTGGCTTTTTTGCGATCGCGCGACGTTTGCGCCGCCACTCGGTTCTTTAGTTTTCTGCAAAAAAAAACAAGTATTTAAAAGATTGCAATTTTTTTTTGATTGAATTGTGGGGATTTTGATTGACTTGGGAGAATTGAAACTGGGGATCGAGTGAAACTTTCGGAAAACCAAAAAAGAAGTTTCTACCACAACATGGAACCACCATCCAAACTTTGGTTAATGCAGTTTCAAAATGGCGAATTTTTCAAAAACCTCATTCCTTAAGTTGCACCCTCAAGTTTGCAGGCCCGTTTTCGAAAATTCCTCTTGACCCCGCTTGAACTCCAATTCGAGTAAAACTTTAGGGAAACCAAAAAAGAAGTTTCTACCACAACATGGAACCACCATCCAAACTGTAGCTAATGCAGTTTCAAAATGGCGAATTTTTCAAAAACCTCATTCCTTAAGTTGCACCCTCAAGTTTGCAGACCCGTTTTCAAAAATTCCCCCAGATCCCATTTGAACTCCAATTCGAGTGAAACTTTCGGAAAACCAAAAAAGAAGTCTCCACCACAACATGGAATAACTATCCAGACTGTAGTTAATGCAGTTTCAAAATGGCGAATTTTTMAAAATCCTCACTACTGAAGTTGCACCCTCAAGYTTGCAGATTCTTTTGCGAAAATTCCTCGTGACTTCATTTGACCTCCAGTTCGAGTGAAACTTTCGGGAAACCAAAAAAAGAAGTTTCAACCACAACATGCAACTATCATCCAAACTGTGCTTAATGCAGTTTCAAAATGGCGAATTAATCAAAATCCTCACTCCTTAAGTTGCACCCTCAAGTTTGCAGGCCCGTTTTYGAAAATTCCTCTTKACCCCGCTTGAACTCCAATTCGAKTAAAACTTTAGGGAAACCAAAAAAGAAGTTTCCACGACAACATGGAATCACCATCCAAACTGTGGTTAATGCAGTTTCAAAATGGCGAATTAATCAAAATCCYCACTCCTTAAGTTGCACCCTCAAGTTTGCAGACTCRTTTTTGAAAATTYCTCTTGACCCCGCTTGAACTCCAATTCGAGTGAAACTTTAGGGAAACCAAAATAGAAGTTTCCACCACAACATGAACTCACCATCCAAACTGTAGTTAATGCAATTTCAAAATGGCGAATTTATTAAAATCCTCACTCCTTAAGTTGTACCTTCAAGTTTGCAGACTCGTTTTTGAAAATTCCTCTTAACCCCGCTTGAACTCCAATTCGAGTGAAACTTTAGGGAAACCAAAAAAGAAGTTTCAACCACAACATGAACTCACCATCCAAACTGTAGTTAATGCAATTTCAAAATGGCGAATTTTTCAAAAACCTCATTCCTTAAGTTGCACCCTTAAGTTTGCAGACCCGTTTTCGAAAATTCCTCTTGACCGCGCTTGAACTACAATTCGTGTGAAACTTTCGGAAAACCAAAAAAGAAGTCTCCACCACAACATGGAATCAYCATCCAAACTGTAGTTAATGCAGTTTCAAAATGGCAAACTTTTCAAAATCCTCATTCCTTAAGTTGCACCCTCAAGTTTGCAGACTCGTTATTGAAAATTCCTCTTGACCCCGCTTGAACTCCCATTCGAGTGAAACTTTCGGAAACCCAAAAAAGAAGTTTCAACCACAATATGCAACCACCATCCAAACTGTGGTTAATGCAGTTTCAATGGCGGATTTTTGAAAACCCACACTCGAAAAATTCAACTCCTACGCTTTCACGCTCAACTTTAAAAATTCCTCCTGGTCCCATTTGGACTCCAAATTGAGCAAAACTTTCAGGAAACTGAAAACTCAATTTCCCCGCAAGGATGGAAGAACATTCCAAACTGTGCTGGACCTGGTTTCAATATGGCGGAATTTTTAAGGCACACTCCGGAAAATTTCAAAATAGATGGAATACCTTTCCGGGCTCCAGTTTCAAAATGGCGAATTTTCAAAGTTTCACCTTCCCCTTCTTGCAGACTGAACTTAAAAAATTCCCCCAGACCCCATTTGAACTCCAATGCGGGTGAAACTTTCGGAGCCTGGAAAACGAAGTTTCCTGGACCCAGTGAGGTGATAAAACCGGCCAAAGAACGCAAAACTGCAAAAAAATCGCGACATCAACCGGGCGTACAGAGTTGCCAACAGGCAGGCAATTTCCTCGTCCTCCGTCCTTTGGCTTGCACTTAAACGCCTTTTTCAACTCTTCCGGTCACTTCCTCAAGACTAATTTCCCCAGACGCTTCAATCGGCCGGATTTTGCCAGGCAAAACGGCTTTTCTCAGTGGGCCCTTGCCACGTCTTCTCCTCTGCTCCTACGGCTGCTTTCTCTACATAMTTTTGCTTTTTGGGCTGATTTCCCCAGMAGCCTAGGCATCWCAGKGCTTAAAAAAACGCCTTTTKGGTTCCCCCAGACAGTTTGTTCCCTATGTTGACGGGCTTTTAGCTTGTGTYGTGCGCCATCCGGACCGCTGAACGAAAGGGCGAATGCGCCAACGTTCCCCCACAATTCCCGATGATTCCAGGCAAACCAGAAAAGATGGTTTAGGTGTTTCAAGGGCCCCCCAGCTCCCCCTGCAGCCTGCCTGATGGCAACAATCTGGAAGCTGTTGGGCCGTCGAACTTAGGCTGCTTCTGCGAAAGGCTCCGGGGGGAAATCGTCAGTTCGACTAAGAAAATGGGGGCAAAACACCATCCAGCTGCTACTTACTTCCTCTGGATCTTCTCCTCCCAGGAGAGATGGTCCAGACGGCGCTTCTTCGCCCGCTGCATCTGCCCATCGGCAGTCTGATCCAGAAGGTAGTTGCTGTCGCTCAGAATGCTCAGAATGGCCGGCACTGGTAGCACTGTGGACGTCATCGCGCACTATTCCACAACAAACAAGCAAATCGCTTCTGATCTCAACGAACAATGGCTTTGTTATGCGTATCCAGGGGCGATTTGGCTGACGCAATCCAGCCGAGTGGCGTGGTCGATTGCGATTGGTCCGCCCAAGTGCCGGGAGATTTGAGTAGGCGCAAGCGAAATTTGAGTTTCCCCATCGATTTGAGGCTGATTGAGGACAGCGGCACGCGTCCTGGACACTTGGCAACGGTTGGGGTCCAATTGAGGACAATTGCACTGGCAGGAGGCCGATGGGAGGGCAGAAAATGGCCTTGGGGCGAATGGATTGGCCGCGGCGTTGCCAGCACCTCCCTCACTGGGGCTTGCTCCGAGAGTTCTCCTCAACTTTTCGGGAGATTTTGCTCGATTTTCCCCAACTGGGGCCCTTGGTGACTTCACGCACGCTCCACCAGGCCCTAACAGTGCCCAGAGGGCCGCAAGAGGGCAGCGCGGGCAAAAGGGGGGGCAACCCGCGCTTTGCTTCGCTGAATGCAGTGTGGCCGGCCAGTGACGTCACCCGCGAGGCGTAGAGGTCTCTTGCTGAACCTAAATGAAATAACGCATTTAACCAGGCCGCTGCTGCATTTACCCGCAAGCCCCCATGCAGTCGATCAGAACATTCAACTTAATCAAATTGGGCCGTAATTAACCAAGTTGACCAGTTAATTAGTTAAAATTACATAAAAATATTAATTAAAAAAAAATAATGAACTGGAGCCCGTCCAGGCGGGGGCAATCGGCGGCAACCAGGCAAACAACTGCAAATAGTACACAAACAATATGGCGTCGATCACGTCGGAAAACGACGATTCCGACGACAATTTATCGGTTTCCTCGTCGTTGTCGGGGTCGAGCGGCTCGGGGGGCGCCAGCGCGCCCTCCATAAGGGCCCCCTCGCCAGTGGCGAGCGGTTGGGGCCCCCGGGGGCGGCGCAATCTCGTCCAAAACCTCCGCGATCGACAGGTAAGCAGCGGCGATCTAACCTCAACAGTGGCTGAATTTTCACGGAATTTTAGCTGTTCGGCCGCTTTGCCCGCAGCCCCAGGGCTCCCCTTGAGAGGACGCTTTGCAGGCCGCGCGAGTATTCTCTGTTGTTGTTGGTTGGCCAGGCCAGTGCACTGTAAGTATTGTGGGAGGCGGTTTTGGGGCCTGTTTGGTTGGGCGTGATTTAGGGCCCGAAGGGGCCGAGCCCCTTAATTGCTAGTCACAGTTTTCTCCAACAGGGCCTTGCCGCAAAGGCCGTTTTCCTTCTCCTTGCGCCCCCTTTCAGTAGCCCGGAACCTGCTAATTTGGCGGCTTCCTTCGACCGCTAAACGATTTTGAAGTAACTTTTTAGGGGTTTAAGTAGAAGTAGGCCCCGCCAGGAAAGGTCAGAGTTTCGAAACCTCCGCCGCCATCCTCAGGCCTTTAGGCCGGCGGCTGAGTCTCAATGAAGACGGTTCCACGAGGAGTTTTGCTCAGTTGGGGAGTGAGTGAGTTACGGGCATTTTTCAGTTTCAGTTTCAGTTTTCGGTGGCTTTAGTGGGCCAATTTGGGCGCCGCAAAATTGGTGTTAGTGGGCACGTTTCGACAATGAGCCATCCTCAAATTTGCCACGAGAAAACTTTTTTTAAGCCAGTTTTGTTGAGCTTTATTGGTACCTTTGGACAGATAAAGCTGTTGGTGGCGATTTTTCCCAAACGCCGGCAACAATGTTTGTCGCAAAAATGCCACAAATGCTGGTCGAATTCGGGAAATGCACAGAAAAGTTGCCATTCGCTTTTTTCTAAATTGAACAATACAAGAACCACTGAGGAAAAACAAAAAAGAAGTTTCTACCACAACATGGAACCACCATCCAAACTGTAGTTAATGCAGTTTCAAAATGGCGAATTTTTCAAAATCCTCACTCCTTAAGTTGCACCTTCAAGTTTGCAGACTCGTTTTCGAAAATTCCTCTTGACCCCGCTTGAACTCCAACTCGAGTGAAACTTTAGGGAAACCAAAAAAGAAGTTTCAACCACAACATGCAACCACCATCCAAACTGTGGTTAATGCAGTTTCAAAATGGCGAATTTTTCAAAATCCTCACTCCTTAAGTTGCACCTTCAAGTTTGTAAATTCGTTTTTGAAAATTCCTCTTGACCTCGCTTGAACTCCTATTCGAGTGAAACTTTACGGAAACCAAAAAAGAAGCTTCCACCACAACATGGAACCACCATCCAAATTCTGGTTAATGCAGTTTCAAAATGGCGAATTTTGTGGAGTTTTATTTGTACCTTTGCACAGATAAAGCTCTTGGTGGCGATTTTTGCCAAACGCCGGCAACAGTGTTTGTCGCAAAAATGCCACAAATGCTGGACAAATTCCGGAAATGTACAGAAAAGTTGCCATTCACTTTTTTCCATATTGAACAATACAAGAACCACTGACGACTTTGTGGATTTGAGCCTAAAGTCTTGGGGGAAAAACACGGAAATTTGGCACATTTGCACCGATGCATTTGGGGCAAATTATTCATTCGGCAGTCCAGACGAAGCCACTAATTGCCCGACAAGTTTCGGACAGCGGCCAGCTTCAGGCATAAACCCGGCCGCCTTCACACCTACATTCAAACACTGTTATTTCCCAAACAGATGCAGATACGAACTAACGGCTCGAAGTCGACTTTATAGACTCGGCAATTTGCTCTTAAACGCCTGTTGAGTTTCCGGAAAATACTGAAAATTGGCCGAGTTACGGGCAAAAAACTGAAAACGGTCGTGCTGATATTCCCTCAAGGGTCTGCACTGATCGTGAATGGACTATACCGATGTGGAGCGTGCAAATAATGCAGGTTGAAGTGTGAATGACAGCTGGCCATAGTCTGTTCGGTTTTAGCTGCAAGACTACACAAGAATCAAATGCATTTGTGCCAATGAAAAAATCCGCAAATCTGGAGGATTTTCATCTTAGTTTAGAAAATTTGCCCATTTTTCCAGAAAAATTCAAAAAATTTTCCGCAATTGTTTTTTAAGTTTCGCGTTCGAATTAAGCGTCTAAGAGCGCGCCAAGTGTGTTTCGAACTTTGCGCTGACACCCGAAAAAAACATCGAAAATTGCACGTTTTTCCTTTTAACGCCACTGAATGGAGAGCGACAAGATCCTGAAGGGGGACCGGAAAAATCCGAAACCTGCCCCACATAGGCCCGAACACTCTACAGGGTGTCTCAATTAAAATGAAACGAAATAAAATGTTTTCTTTTGGACAGCGACCACACACTGATGGGCTTCACGCAATGCGGCCAGTACATGCTCAGCTACACGACACGAAGTTGCAACGTCGCATCCAGCCATCCGATCTACTCGCTCAGCTACGAGTACGAGCTCTACGTGTGGCTGTTCAGTCCGGGCGTGCCGCTGCGCCACGTTTCGAAACATCGCATCTTCGGGCACTTCAAGTCGTACTGCCCATTGGAACGCATCCTTTTCATGCAGTTCCCCAACGACGCCACCAAGATCGTCTGTTATGGAAACGAGTGAGTATTTTTTTTTTTTTTG